CCACAACAAATATCAGGAACCAACAGGGCACCTCCATTATGATGGCACTTGTACAGGTGCAGGACTAGCTTTTAAATATGGCACCATCGCCAGAGATGATAGTTAATTCCAGGAACTCTAGACTGTGGAGAGTTTACCTGAGAATTGCATGGTTTAAGATAGGATGGAAATTGGACATGTTATTCAGAGTAAGGGCTAAAATGTCAATTAATTCAGAGAGTTTGGTAAGATTCAGTGAGAAAACAGAATTGACCTCACAGTGAGAATCACTCCACCAATCTCGATGTGACCTGCACTTATCCAGAAAAGTGCAAGATTTAGCCCAAAGATTTTTATGAAGGGAATTCCAGAATTTAGTACTAAGGCTGCTGTAGGGACAGCCACAAATGATGAATGCACAGGGGCCAGAATTAGGGGACTGTAAAGATCTTGGAGAGTTTGAGACAGCTCTAGACATAAAATGCAAGTGATATTTGAAAATGCATATGAAGATTAAAGATTTGGGATCTTGCCAGACTGGGAGCCAATTTAAGTGAACAAGCACTGGAGCGATAGATGATTGGAACTTGATGCAAGGTAGGATAAGTGTTGCTGATGAGGAGTGAATGGGCTCAAGTTTATAGATGATGGAAGTTAGGAGGCCAACTATTTTTGCATTGAAATCATCAGGTCTATAGATAACAAGGGCTTCATTGACAGTTTTAGCAGCAGATAAACTGAGGCAGTAATGAAGTTGGGTGATATTCCAGGAGTGAAAATGGTGATGACATGTAAGTGTGTGTATATAATATTTATATATATAGATATAGATATAGATATGGATAGATATATGGATATAGATATAGATAGATAAATATACGCATATATAAATCACACAGCTGTTACAACGTGGAGATAGACAGCTGAACTGTACACATAACATAGTAAAATTAAAAACTTTCAAAACTCTCAGAATTAACCTCAATGGCTCCTATCCAGACTTTTGAATAATCAATCCCAAACTCTGCAAATAATCAATTCTCAACACCAGTTTGTATCTTAAACAAAAGACTTAACAATACAGTAACTTCAGCAGAGTAAAAATTAAACAAGAAAGTAATCAAATTGGTGTGCTGTATAACTAAAAGCATTTGTTTTCAGCCCCTTTCAGACCAAAGGTAAACAAACAAATAAACATAATTGAGGGTGAATAGAATAGAATAATAAAACTGGCCAGATTACTAAAGTGGTTTTCACAATGTCTCATTTCACAAGCATAGATGCTGGTTTCTTTGTTGATTTTCTAAAAATTTCATTCAGGGTCACTTTTACAGTTCATACAAAGGCAGTAATTTTTATAACTCGATTTTCTTTTCTCTAAGATTCCAAGGGCTGCTCATGAGTGTTTAAGAACGAAGCTTTCAAATCTTCACCCTGTAGCATCAATAGTTAAACTCTCTTTTTTCATGGAAAACACAATGTAAGCCCAATTAAAAATCTAACTGTCTCCTGCATGATGTCCCAGTTACCGTTCAACACCTACTATCTGCTTGAGCATAAGGTCTTTTCCAGACTTGCTGGAACCAATTCCCAGGTACTGACGTCATTAATGGCCTTCTGAATACACAAAAGCTTGCTTGGTCTGTTTTCCTTTTAATGCAAGCTGTTACTCATAGTCTAAAAGTAATCCTTAACTCACTGTTCCTGGTTCACAGCTCCAAACCAAACTTAATAAGATAATAAAATAAAGATAATGAAAAATCAGCAAGGGTTTAACATAGTATAATGTTATAATTCAGATTTTCCTCTGGGCTACAACCTTGTGAGACCTCTAATATTTCAATGAGACACATCCTGCTTGTTAAATACTTAGAGATAAACACAGTGCACTGACAGCTTTTCAGAAGGTTGTTACCTTCTCAATATTCTGAAAGAACTTTTTTGCATTAAAAATGGATCACGTCTTTCTTCTGATCTTGACATTTTACATAATTCTGAATCTTCACTGAAAAAAACTGGTTCTGGGGTGTAATCAGATATAAATTATCTTTGGAATTTCTTCAATACATGTTGGCCTAAGATTTTGCTAATGTTAGCAATTTTATCATAGATTTCATATATTACATCACTGGGATGATTCCGTGTTCTTGCACTCCCTGTGAAGAAATTGTAACCAATACAAACACAGGTTGGTTTTAGGGTTATAATATTTGCTACCAATTCTCCAGACCAAAACCTTTTAATGGACACCATACAAGACACAATGAGGTAATAAGTGGTCAAGAAAAGTATTCAACAAAAAAACTAAGATGTACAAGGAGGTGAAAATGACTGGAAAGCCAGAGAATTGGGAAGTCTTAGGAACTAGCAGAAAGTGCCTAAAAAGCTAATAAGGATGGAGAAAATTTGTTATGAAAATAAATTCAGAAGAAAGATACAAACAAATGGCAACAGCTTCTATGAGTAAACAAAAAGGAGAGTAGTTAAAGTAAGTGTGGGACTTGGCGGATGTAACCAGGGATTTAATAATGGAGAACAGGAAAATGGTAGCTAATTTAAAACAATATTTTGTGTCGGTCCTCAGTGGAGAACAGTATAAACATTCTGAAGACAACACATAAGCAAGATGTTAACTGGAAATAAACGTTTCATAGCAGTCTCTGTCACAAGGTATAAAGTACTTAACAAATTAAGGGGACTGAAGGCAAACAAGCAGCCAGGCCCTGATGGCCCACATCCAAAGGTTTTAAAGGAAGTGGCTGCAGAGATAGTGGAAGCATTGAATGAAATATCCCCCAAACTTTCTGGATGTCAGGAAGGTTTCAGCAGATTTGAAAATGGTAGTGGAATGCCACAAGGATTAGCCTTAAGGCCTCTATTATTTCAACCTATATTGATGAGTTGGAGGAGGGGGCAGGGTGCAATACATCCAGATTTGTTGATGAAACAAAAATAAGTAAAAGGCATGTGGTGATGAGGACATGAGGAGCCTGCAAGAGAATATAGATAGGTTGGATAGTGGGAAAAAAACTAGGCAGATGGAGTTTAATGTAGGAAAACATGAGATCATTCACTTTGGGAGGAAGAATCAAGAGGCAGACTTATTTTAATGGAGAGAGAAAGTCCATAAAATTGCAGCACATAGGGAGATTTGTATTCTCTTGCACATGAAACACAAAAGTTAGCATACAGGTGCAAGTAATTCAATGCAAATAGCATTTTGTCCTTTATTGCTAGAGAGTTTGAGTCTAACAATACCAAAGTATTGTTAGGTTGTACAGGGTATTGGTGAAGCTGCATCGGGAGCACTGTAAAAAGTTTTAGTCCTATTTAAAAAGCATTCTGGCATTGAGGACAATTCAAAAGAGATTCACAAGGCTACGTTGAATTACCAAGAACTGTTAAGGCCATTTTTGATCAGAATTTTAAAGGAATAAGGGGTGATCCTTTGGAAACATATAGGATGCCGAGGAGGCTTGACAGTAAATTTTGGGAAGATATTTTCCATTAGTGGAGAAGGCTCAAACTAGGCATAAGGGGGCACTCATTTGAAACTGAGATGTCAAATAATTTATTCTCCAGAGCGTAGTAAATGTCTGGAATTCTGTACCACAGAGTTGTGAAGGCTAGATCACTCGAAGTATTTAAAGAAGAGGTAGATAGATTTCTGAAAAATCAATGTGTTAACGACTATGATAAGCTAGCATGAAAGAGGAGTTGAGATCTCTAGCAGACCTTGCATGGTCGTATTAAATAGCAGGACAGGCTTTGGGAGTCAAATAGCCTATTTCTGCTCCTATTTCTCATATTCTTGTGTTCTTATGTAATACTTCAAAAAAAAGCAGCATGTCCTTGAATATTAACTGCAGAAATATCCTGCAATAATTTGCCATTTGAAAAGAACCAGAGATTTAGAGAAATAGTTAAAATTTCCTCCAAAACTGCGAATATAATAGCTACTAAATTACTGTGGTTGCAAAAATCTAAAATATCCAAGGGCAATAAGTATTCAATTTGTAGTTAAACATAGTCAACCCACATCATGTATAACAACCGTTGTCAAAGAAAACCCCTGAATGATGAAAGGCAGCAGTTTAGGATCTGAAGTGTTTTCCCAGTCTGCAAGTACACTTCCTTCATTCTGAAAAATGATAATTCAGAATATTATGAGCACAGTGATCAACAGCAAAAATTGCTCAGCTTCCTGTTGGCTCACCACTTCATCTAGAGGCTGACAAAAGTGATTAATCAGTCACTGAAATGGTTAGGCTCTCACAAAGCCCAAGTTGAAAGTGTGAAATTAAATAGAATGCCTGTATCACCAAGTACAGAATCTCAATTCTAGATGTTTTGGTGAATTCATTACAAGTATACTTTACATGATGTAGTATTTGCATTCTGCATTATGTTTTCTTAAAAATTGTAAAGGTCAGCTTAACACATGTTTTTACTTCCTTGTAGCCAGTTTATTAGTTAAAAATAAAAATTAGCAGAAAGAATACACGAATCAATTATTCCTACACAATTGTAATATCTTGCACATTACATGATATAAGCACTCCCATTTTCTTAATTTATTTAATTATCCACTGTGATTTCTTCCTTTCCTCTATCATTTCTTTGCTCAAAAAATTATAACATGATTATGTATACTGAAAATGCAGTCCAAAACAAAATTGCTGTTTTTCTTCCAAAACATTAATGGGTATGCACACAACTTTTGAATCCCTTCCCTGACTTATCAAATAAACATTTATGAATAAGTTCAAAATTGATCAGATTTTATGGTTTAGGCATTATTTTAAGTTTAAGTAATGAAAAAGTCAACGTAATCTTCTTCATCAAGGAACAATGATTTCCATTCCAAATGCAGCAGCATATGGAGACTATTGGCATGTTTTTGTCAATGTCTGCTTTTGTTTTCTATATGCTCTTCTTATTGGTTATTTCAGTATGAGTAAACAAATGATTAGTGTTGCTTGCTCATGTTCTTTTATTTCATTTACTGTAGGCCGAGGAAGATTTTTCAGACTGAAGCTGCCTGCATTAAGACTTCTTACATCCAGCAAACAATCACTTCCCCAGGAGGACCCTGATGTGGTTGTAGTGGAGCCTTCTCAAGTGAGTGATGAATCTTTGGCCATGAAGGACTTGAAATCCCCGACAAGTGAAAGCTGTGGTCCTTCAGAATTTGAAGAAACAAAAGCATTGACAGAACCAGGTAGCTCTCCTCCATTTGTAAATTTGCCAGGACCACTGGACCATTCTTCACCAAAGCGACACTGGGATGGATTGAATCCAGATACGTTGCAGTCTACCTCTGGTCTAACATACAGTCAGTCAAGAGAAAGTGTGTGCAGTATGAGGAGAGCTTCTTCGGTTCATGATATTGAAGGATACCATGTGAATTCTAGGATTATATTTAGGGATCGGCATGCAAGCGAAGGTAGGCATCTTAGCTTTTTTTTACAAAGCATGCTTTCTGTGAGTTTAAATTTTGCCATATTGCTAATTGAGAAATTTGTAAATGATTTGGTAAAAATGATGTTGAACTAATACTTTAATCATTCTGTTCACAATCCCTATTTTCTGTGTCCAAATCCCAATGCTTTCTGGGAAGATGAATGCACAACGTAGAAAATTGCCATTTTCAACATTGTTGCTTTGAAACTTCAACAATTTTCTATAAATATACTTAGTGAGTCACTGCTGCCTCTTTTGATGATTAAAATAAGGCAGACCCTTTGCACAGGGTAAATCATTATACTGTCCAAAGGATATTCACAATTGGTGCTCCCTCAAATGGAAAAAAATAACAAAAAATGTGCCCTGAATAGAGTTGAGCCCTATAGGTAATCTTTATATAGAAACGAGTCAATAGAATTGGCCTTTCTTGCAATGAGTCAGATATTGGCTTTGAGTCATTATAAGTAGCCATTTGAGAATCACTATGGGGAGTCCATTTACATAGGATGAGTCACTCTAAAGAGCATCTTTATACATAATATACAGACAACTAACACATTTAGTCAGGTGAGTTACTATAGGACCCCTTTATATAGGGCGAATCATTCTTAATTATAAATGTAGCCACATGCAGCTCAGTAAACTTGGAAAAGAAACAATAGTTAGGTTATATAGGGTGGGTTACAGAGGGTGACTCCACTCTGGGCTGGATTTTCACTATCAGGACAGGTAGCTTAGTATGGGAAATTCCAGCACACCGTATTCACTTAGGGAAGAAGTGTCCTGATTGTGGAATCTTTAGGTGTAAGATGGTGTTGTGTGAATCAGAGGCAGGTACAAGAACTGCTGAGTGATGATATACTGATCAAAGGGCTGTCTCAATTCTCTGGAACTTTGTCCCAATTTAAAACTAGACCAATGAGCCATTACCTCTCACACAATCTCACGCCCTCATATTTTCTCACCTACTCCATCCATGCCATTTACAACAACATATGCTCCCTACCCATTCCCAGTGGCCCTTCATATCTTCCATGACAATCCAAGTCCCCTACCCACCCTCAAGGTACCTCATAACCTCCATGCCAAATCATAGCAATTCCATGCCCCATTCACTTGTGATGGTGTGGAGGTGCTGGTGTTCGACCAGGACGGACAAGGTCAAAAGTCATACGACACCAGGTTATAGTCCAACAGGTTTATTTGAAATCACAAGTTTTTGGAGCATTGGCCCTTCGTCAGGTCACTCCAAAAGCTTGTGATTTTAAATGAACCTGTTGGTCTATAACCTGCGTCGTATGACTTTTGACCTCATTCACCTATTAAACATTCTCTGTAGAACAAAATAAATCTGTAATAATTACAGCATCTAAGAAAATACTTAAACATGTATACCTTAACAAAGAATGCTGCTGCAATAAACCTGTAAAAGTGTCAATCAACCAGCACCTTTAAATCAGTAACAGATACTGTAAACACTTAAAACCTCTTTATCTTGTGTAAGCAAATATTGAGCCAATGATAAAAACAGATCACATCACAGAATAGGAAGGATTGTAAAGATATCAATCAAGCAATGCTTCCATCTGTACACCTGTTTCAACAAAATAAAACTTTTTTGAGAAGTCTGGGTTCTGAAAAACGTATGCATTATTAAGCTTGGCAACAATCTAACCAATGATCTTCTCTTATTCCTGTGAAAATTGGGGATGCAAATCATGGGATTGGATTCTGTTCACCATTTTTAAAGATCCAAAGACCCTCTGTGACACCACAACAATCTGACTATATTTTGCCCCCGTCAACAACACTGCTCCACAATATTATATCTCCACAATATTACCCATATTTCTGCAGGTTAGTGCCATCAAAAGCCTTGCAAACCTGATACCTGAAGCCCATCTCACCAGAAATTGGATTTTTGACCTTGTCAACTTTGTCAGGTAAGGAGTTGGAATGCCCTTTGGGTATCCAGACAAAGATCGATGACGACAAAGTTAGGCCGGCCTCCTTTCGGGCAACAACCCTCAGTTAGGGTCTGGAGAGTATGGAGGTTGATTGGGAGAGAGCGTATTATGAGAGAACCGAGAAACAATAGGGGGAGGAAGCAATTGGGATGAACTTGACAGGCATCAGCTTTCAGAATTAGTTTGGAGCCAGATCCTCCAGGCTCCTCTTGATTCCACATTCTGGTAACTACTTTTTTTTTACTATCTTAAATTTATTGGCTGCTAGTCGTCCCTTTAAGGCTCATGGCTAGCTAGACACATTTAAACGCACGTATCTTGGACACAGCCAGCTCAATACAAACTACATTCAGGCTAGGAACATTTTGGAAGCATGGCCTTAAGAAGGTCCCTCTTTGCAAATGCAAAGTGTCTAGCATCTTTTTCAGGCACAGATCCCAGAAACGTTTATCAATATGTTGGGAAGCACCCAACTGACAAAATATGAATGCACATATCACTATCAAACATTGCTAAGGCACCCAAACCTGTCTACAAAAAAAGGCACGTTATTTTTTAAAGACCAAATATTTCACAGTGCTTCTTGTCAATATTCTTTTTCACTGCCCTCAGAGATTTCAAATCACTGTTTCCTACACTACATTAAGCTTAATACCTCTTCCTGTATTCCACAGACTCTTATTCATGCAAAATACCAAATTTAAAACTTACATCCTCCATGGCAGCATCTTCCATTCTATAGCTTTGTTCCATTATATATCTTCCTCCATACACAGTCCTACAATGATAACTTTTGATGCATATCCTTCCACTGGCTCAACATTACAAGCCAATGCTTTCAGCCTATCAATGTTACTTCTTAATATCCCTTCACTAAATACTTTGAATGAGATTGTAGTCTTTTGAATATCTATTTAGTGGATTCTGTGGGTACTGACAGAGCTCTAAGACGGTTTCTGAAACTTTCACACAGTTGTGGGGTAAATTGCCATTGGATACAGGCATTTGCTGGCATGTACCCAGTGCTCATATGCCAGAAGTATGAAGAAGAAGCAGAAATAAATCACACAGATTTGATGCCAATGGTACCATTCGGAAGCTCCACTCTAAATCTTTTCTCTTAACTTGCACAATGAAACACATAATTAGCAACATAATGTTTGTGGCTGCACCATATGAGCAAAGGAGACAGTAATCAGGGCTGTTTGGCTGATAGACAGCAGGAGGGCATTATTTTTAGGCATCCATGGCATGTGACCATTGCTGACAAGACCTGTAATTTTCCTTAAGAAAACTCTGGCAATCTTTCTGAACCACTGCACCATATGTCCTTTAGGTACACCCATATTGCTCTTTGGAAAGAATTTCCAGTGAATTAACTGCCTGTATTCTCCTAGCTAGTAAAATTAATTGGTTGGAAGGTAATATCAAAGAATCCATGGCAACTTACTACAGTGCATCCTATGCACGGTGCATACTGTTGCTGCTGCAAGTCCCTGTTGAAGGGAGTGAATGTTGAAGGTGGTGGATGAGGTGCCAATTAAAATGGCTATCTTGTGTTGGATGGTGTTGCACTTCTTGAATGTTGTTGGATTGAAAAATTAACCTGACAAGCAGGGAGTCTTCCATCATACACCTGACTTGTAAATGGTGAACATGTTTTGGGGACTCAGGAGGTGAGTTACTTACCTCAGAATTCCCAGTGTGTTCTTTTGGCTACGGTAATTTTATGGCTAGTCCAGTTAAATTTCTGGTCAGTGCTAACCCCAGAATATTGCTGGTGAGGGGGAAGGTGTTGCCTTTAAATGTTAAAGGAATATGGTTACATTTTCTGTTATTGGAGATGGCCATTATTTAATACTTGTGTGGTGTGAATGTTGTTTGCCAACTATTAGCCCAAGCCTGAATGTTGTTCAGATCTTGCTGTATATCCACACTGACTGCTTCAACATCTGAAGGGTTGCAAATGACATTGAGCTTTGTAGGATCATCAGCAAACATCCTCTCTCTGGCCTTTTGTTGGAGGAAGTGTCATTGGTGAAGCAGTTGAAATGGTTAGGTTTTGGACCATATTCTGACGAACTCTTGCAGTGTCATCCTCAGCTGAGATGATTGGTGTTTGACAACTACAATCAACTTCCATTGAGCTAGGTATGACTTCATGCCATTGCAAATTCTTCAACATCTTCCTGTTGTCCTCAGTTTTGTTCAGGCTGTTTAATGCCACTCTTCACCAAATGCTGCCTTGATGTCAAGAGCAGTAATAATCAGTATACCTCTTGAAAGTAATTGTTTTGACATGTTTCTGCCAAGGGTATAATGAAGTCTGAAACCAAGTGCCTCTGGCTGAACCCAAAGTGAACATTGGTCAATGAGTAAACAATGAGTAAACGCTGCTGCGTGACCTTGTTAACAGCACCTTCTATCACTTTGCTAATGATTGTGACTGGGCTCATGTAATGGCAATTGGCTGAACTGGATTTGTGGTTAGGATACATCTGGGCAATTTTCCACATTTCCCAATAGAAGCCAATATTATAGCCGTACTAGAATAACTTGGCAAGGAGTGTGAGTAGTCCTGGAACACACTGCAGTCAGGATGTTAATGAGGCCCAAAGGCTTTGCTGTGTTCAATGCATTCAGCTATTTTGTGATATTGAGTTGGCTGAAGACTACATTCTGTGATGCTGGGGATATTAGGAGGAAGCCAAGATAAATCCTCAACTTGATACATCTGGCTGAAGCTAGTGAAACATTGTTTATTTTTATCTGTTACATTGATTCACTGGATTCCCCCATCACTGAGGATGGAAAGTTTCTGAAGCCTCCTCCTTCAATTAGTAATTTAATTGGTCATCATGTGTCATGTTGCAGGACTGCAGAATCTGATCTGATCCGTTGGACCACTTAATGCTGTCAATTCTGTTGAGCATCCACATAATCATGTATTGTGACTTCACCAGATTGCTGCCTCATTTTTAGGTGTGCCTGGAGTTTTTGCTGGCATGCTGTGCTTCATTTCTCATTGAACAAGGCCAGAGCTCTCAGGATTGGAGGATGATTTTATTTTTCCCTGAAAGAGGACAACAGGTTCATGCTCCATGGAGCCACTGTCACTGCCCTGAGATAGTGTCTCTGGACAACAGATTGTTGAATTGTTGTGGCACCCTGAAAACCTCTTTATACATTGTAATCCATGGTCATGCAAGCTGCTGTTGCATGACAGTAGACTGAACCTCTGCTGCATAAGTCACACATTGAGTGGCTCCTGCTAGTTCTGTAATGGAAGCTACATCATATTATACCATGGTTGGTGTCACAAATCTGTGAATGGAGTTGACCACCGCTTGCAATATGGAAAAGTTAGGGTCCAAGCTCCCTGCAAAAGTTTTTGCCAAGGTGATATCAGAATCCTCAATGCTCCTTGTCATTGACTGAAAGCTTTCCAATAGGTTTTTCAATATCCTGAGCATTTCATTTTGCATAGACATCAACCATTTTCTGTCCACTGCCCAATGAAGTGCTCATCTAAGTCTTTTGCAGCTAGAACTTATGGGTGATCTCATTGTGGTTGAGACTGAACTATCTTTGAAATGGTTGCAGACCACTGATGCTCAGTAACTTAATACATGCAAATTCACCTCTAGCTTTCTTTTAAGATATATTAGTGTCAGTTTTTGAACTGTTACAAGTGTGAATTAAAGTGACTGTGCTGTGTCTTCATCATCACTTTGTTTTACTGTTACTCCACTGACTGGTCAGGTTGTACCTGTTGGATACTGAAATAAAAAGACACAGAGGTAAGATTATAGTAAAGAAATGGGTGGAAAATAAGAAGTGCATGATTATGTCACCTACAGCTTGTCAATAAAATGGAAATATGAGACGAGGTGGAAGTGAGATGTCAAATAGAGGATTAGGTTTGAGGATATCATCTTCCTCAATGCTTTCAACTCTACTTCTGGCCAAAGCCTCAGCATGGACATTCTTATAATGGCCAGCATCATCTCCTCCATGGGGTCTAGAGCATGAAGGAGCATCTATCCCTTACCAGTCAGCTTCTGCTGCTTTTTGTTTGACATTACATTGTCCTGTACATGAGAAGGTAGTGCAAAAGAAGGTAGCAAATCTGATGTAATACATTTTGCTAATGTATCCGCCATAGTGGATGAATTGGCAAAGCATGCAATCTTTGAAATGCAGGTGTGAGGCTTGCAGTATTTGAATAAAGGAACAGGAGTGGGTTATTTTATACCTACTATTTGACTAAATTGTGATTGATCTACTGCTTAACTCCATACACCTGCCCATGGCCAGAATTTGGTGAAGAAATGGCCTTATTTTAATCCTTGAGGCGGATCACAAAAAGAAGGAAAATTCCCGGCTTAGTCCACCTCTTCAGGAGAAAGTGCTAGATAAGGTCAGATTTTCGATCCAAAGAGAGAAGAAATGGTTACTATTAGGAGTTGGGTCAGCTAATTCGACAAAAAGTTTGGAGATAGCTCTAGTGGTGGGGACGGAGATGGGTTAAATAAAAGGATCTCATTATGAAATGCTGTGGATCATGACTCATCAAAAAGTTAGTTCAACTCCATGCAAAGTGCTGCGCAGCTGGCCATGTCTATCTCCACAGTAGGCCTAACAAGGTTGGGAGTGCAGGGTGAGAACTCAAGATTCTTTGCTCATCCCAATCAAATTGTTTTGAACCGTAGGTCTCAGATTTGTTCCATCCACAATGCACCTCCACTTTAAATAGTACAGATCAGTTTTAAGCATTGCGAGCAAGCTGTAAGTCAAAGAATATTGACCTCCTGCAATGCAACCGACAGTTAAACAGCAGGGTCAGTACTGACTAAATACAGAGATAATTCAAATGAGTAGGCAACAAGAAGCTGTTTTCATTCTAATAAATGGGCTTGAGTTAATCCTGCAGTCTAATTCTTGCATTACTGTGACCTGTTTTTGGGATCTGTCCAATTTAGCCCTCATGGTCTTAACTTCTCAGCCAAACTTATCTTCACTTTTTCCATTAAACCCTAGTTTTACTGTCTTTCACTTTTCTCTTAATTAAATACCACAGAATTGTTTTTTTTTTCTAAATTGAAGGCCCTACTTAAATACAATACATCCTGTTGTATTAAGATTTTTTTAAACTTTGCACTGACTTTCCGAAGTAGTCAATGGACAACCCTGAAAATTCATTGAGAAATATATCCATGAGTGTCTCAAAGCCTAAAGTGACTCTGTTCTTGATATTTTATTCCCTGCCAAGAAACACATAACTGATGCTGTATTTAATTTTTAATCTGATATCATTGCCAGTGGAATGACCACCTCAGTTATATTATCATGTAAGTGGAGATTTTTTTCTAAGTATCATTCTATGCATTCTTAGACCCCAATTTAAAGCATATTAATGTGCAGTAATGGTTCAAGTTCTAAAACAACTTTTTCTTCCTTGAATATTTAATTAGTGTTAATAGTATCTACCATTTTAAATGTAGCTATGATTCCAGGTATAAATTAGAAAAAGGATTTGAAGACTGAAATGTAAAACATCATCCCTTTCATTTGCATCTCTTTAGTTTATATTTGAAACCAGCCACCAGAATTGTACATTATTTTAATGGGTAGTCAGGTCCTCACAGCACCTCTCCATTCTCATTATAGTTCTATCTTTGAAAAGCAAGTATTTCACATGCTGTGTTGAGGCGTGTTCTGCATAAGCTCCTTGCAACTTATAATGAGATTCCAGTGAATGTATATGCTATGAAATAGCACAAAATGTATCATGAAAAATCCAAACCCTATGGCCCTGTAGCTCCATTGCAGAAATGATACAATCACAGAAATTGTTACAGTGAGAGTTTGGTGTATTGACTGGATTGCTCTTGCATATACAAATCTGTAAAATAAATGATTTTTAAAATTTATATTTTAGTATTCTGTATATTTCTTATTTCTCTTTTTTTACTTGTCACTATGTTGCCACACAGACAACGGACGACATATTAAAGGTAATATTTTCAACTAAACTTGTATGCCCTTATTTAAGTTACATTACTTGAATACATTCATCTTATTTATTGGTTGAAATAGAATTGGTTGTTGTTGCAAACTCAGAAAGGTCTTGCAGCTAAGTCCAAATTAATAAGTACTAACTAATTTAAATTTGTTTGAGAATTTATGCTCTTTCTGAACAATTTTCATCAATAGTTATCATGACTTGAATAAATATTATTCATCTTTATGAAGGAGGTTTTTTTATAAGATTCTGTGTACAAAGCATTGCTATTTCAAATTGGTATCAGGGTGCTGAATTGAAAGATTTGTCTATGTCAAATCATTCTGGTAACTATTCAATTAAAATAAAACAGATATTCAATTAAAATAAAACAGATTTGCTAGCAAAATTTAGCATCTTCTGAGGTATTCTGTTTGAGATTGCAATGTAAGATAGTAATATCCAACTGCTTGACGTACTGAAATTCCTTTACCCATATCTTTAGAAAATGAGTCAATTTATTTAGACTGATCAGGTTAACACCATGGTTAAAATAGTAGAGAAAGGTATTTGGTCATTTATTGTTATTCTGCAATGTAATTTCATGGTTAACATTGTCTCTATCACTAGCACCAGTACAAAGAAAGCAACCAACTTATGGAATTGAAATGATTATTTGAAAAGGAGAAACATTCTACTGAATTGCTGATGGCTGTCTCCACCACATTGATTAAATCAGAATTTGCTAACATAAAATGTAACACTGAGATTCAGGCACATAAATTTGAGAATTCTGATTTAACATGAGAAAAGAACAACTCTAAGATTAAAACAAAGGTATAGAAAACCGCAATCTATTTCTCTATCTCTTCAAGAAACCTTGCATGAGGAACACTTAAACAAATTGTATAACAGCGTTCACTTCTCTATTGGTAAACCTTTTTTTTTACCATCACAGAACAACTATTTGAAAATAAGTCAACTATTTCTTCAAAAAAACTTTTATTAATGAATAACTTTCACAAATCCCAACTTGATTACACCTTGTACTTCTATACGCTCTCTAATTTCATGTACTCTGTTATATAGTCTGTCTTTTATGTTATTGGTTATTTCCAGTGTGCAACATCTACTTTTAAACATGCAGTGTGATGCTATCAAGTGTGCCATAGTTTTATTCTGTAATTATTCAGGTCAAGATATATATTTATTATCCCAATGTGATATTAGGTTTTTTTTAGAAGCAATATCTGACTTTTCCAGCTCCCTTTTGGTAATATGTATCTGCACTGAGCCTGGCACTAATATTTGTGACTTCCATCAGAACTAAATGTGTAACCTTGTCCTCTAGAGAAGGAAATTTCAGTATTTCATTTATTCTGCTTGCCACACATTGCAGTTTGTACAGCTATTCCATTGGCTCATGAGTCTTTATCATGGACAGATATAAGGGAAAAGATCATCGAGTTCTCCCGATGCACAGAATTAAATTGGAGGTACACACTGCACCCCTTTGGAAGTTCCAGTGCACTGATGTCACTGGAATTGTCTGACAAACCTAAATTTCAGTGGATAATTTACCAGCTCCTTAGGAGCCTGCACAAATCTTTTCGACTTTAAGTTTGATTAGGATAGGTCAGAGGCACCTGACTTGCTCACCTGCATAGTTACCCAAGAAATTTTAGAGATATTAAAATCATGCCTAACTCTGGAATAACTATAAAGCTAACTGATGTCGCTGCTCATCTACTCCCACACCTGTGACCTACCCCGACTAGGAACATAGAAACATTGAAGATAGGAGCAGGAGCCGGCCATTTAACCCGTGAAGCCTGCTCTTGCCTTTAAATATGATCATATCTGGTCATCAAGCTCTATACTCTGGTTCGACTTTCACCCCATAACCCTTGATCCCTTTAGCCACAAGTGCTATATCTACTTTCCTATGTAAAACATAACATTTTGGCCTCACAGGACTTTCTGTGGTAGAGAATGTCATGGACTCATCACTCTCTGGATGAAGAAATTTGTCCTCATTTCAGTCCAAAAAGGTTTATACCCTTTATCCTTAAATTATGACCCCTGATTCTGGACTTCCCCATATCTTTCCTGCAACTAACCTGTCCAGTCCTGCTGGAATTTTATGGGTTTCTTGGAGATCCCACCTCATTATTTTAAGCTCCAGTAAATACAATCCTTAACTGACTCAATCTCTCCTCATATGTCAGTCTTGCCATCCCAGGAATCAATCTGGTAAACCTTTGCTGCACTCCCTCTATAACAAGAACATCCTTCCTCAGATAAGGAGACAAAAAGTGTTCACTTTATTTCAGGTGTGACCTCACCAATACCCTGCATAATTGTAGCATGACATCCTTGTTCCTGTATTTGAATCCTCTCATTATGAAGGCCAACGAATAGTTTGCCTTCTTTACTGTCTGCTTATTTTCAGTGACTGCTGCACAAGCACACCCAGTTGTCATTGAATATCCCCCTTCCCTTCTCAATTTACAGCTATTCAAATAATAATTTGCATTCCTATTTTTGCTACCAAGGTGGATAACCTCACCTTTATCCACATTATACTGCACCGGTATTGCATTTGCCCATTCACTCAGCCTGTCCAAATCACACTACATCATCTCTGCATCCTTCTTACTGTTCACCCTTCCACCCAGGCCACTTCCTTAAGTAATTTGGGATATAGATTATCAGGACCTGGGGAGTTATCAGCCTTCAATCCCATCAATTTCTCCAGCATCATTTCTCTACTAATGTAGATTTGCTTCATTTTCTTCCTGTTACGAAACCCTGTGTTCACCATCATTTCTAGTAAATTATTTATGTCCTCCTTTGTGAAGACAAAAGTGAAGTATGAATTTAGTTCAGCAACCATTTCTTTGTTCCCCATTATAAATTCTCCTGTTTCTGACCGTAAGGGACCTATATTAGTTTTCACCGATCTTTTTCTTCACATACCTATAGAAATTTTTACAGTCAGTTCATATATTTCCCGCAAGCTTATTGTCACACTCACTGACCCTTTAAATCCTCTGATGCTGTGAACCAACAATACTCCAACTCCCCTATAACTCTCTGACTGTTCCCCGACCCTTCAACTCTTCCCCAAACCCAAACTCTCAACTTTCTGACCCCTCCTGACTCTCTGGCACTACCTACCCATCCCAACCCTCAACACCCCTGAAACACCCTTCCTGATGTGACCCGACCATTCATCCACCCTAACCACCCAACCACACAGCCATTCTATGTAGTTGGCAACCTACGCACCACCTACCACTGTTCTACCTACCACCTTGCCACCCTCCAACCCTAATCTATTGACTTCCTACCATCCTACCAGATTGCTATCCTACCCACACTATTCAATTAATTCAGACACTCATTCATTAACTCAGTAAAATAATATTTAAATGTCCAAAAACTTCTCAGTTTTTTTCATGCATGTTACAAAACTGATGAGAGGAATATGCCTTTAATCAAGCCCCTCTATTTATTACCAGTCATGCCATTTGTATAAAAGTTTTAGTTCAATCATCAAAATGGCCAAGCAATTCTCTTTCATACTGCTACACAGAATAAAAGAGACTTTAAGTCTTAACTCAATTCAAAATAATTTATTATAACATGAAACTTCATTCTTAAAACAAGTGGCAAACACTAGTTAACACCTTAGCTATAATCCTGAATTAGAAATATATCCCCTTAACCCAAAATAGACAAGCTTACTCAACATCAAAAGACAACAGATTCTGCAGAGATAGATTGTCTTTTTTAAAAAAAAAACCTGATCGCCTAAAAACAAAGGAGAGAATTAGATGAATTTCCACTGTCCACCAAATTTCTTGTCAACAAAATCAAATTGCTGACGGCTCTAGACTGGAATATCTTCAGTCAAATTGAAATCAAGGTGGACACACATCGATAGAAAGTGACCACAATTCAGCAGTTCAGGGTTTATAAAGTAGTAAGAAATGTAGATAATTGGAATCTTTACTAGTTTCCCAAGACCTTCTACTGTGAGAAGAAGAGAGAAAATTGCAGCTTCCAAGGTTTCTTGCCTTACTGACTCCCTACTTCCAAGAAAACAGAATCAAGCCCATCAAGGGTTGCTGCATAACAATCAACACAAAGGCCCATAACAGTCTTTTTCAAAAGCCAGGTTTTCCAACAATTAGGAGCCATAAAGCCCATCTCTTACCTCCCTAAAAGCATTGTTTGGCTTTTATCCCCAATGTCATTTGATTTTTAGAACACAACAAATAATTCACACATTAAACTGTTGATATCATTTCCAAGAAATCACATATAAGAAAGTATCCAGTTCCAGACCTTCAGGTTTTACACATAGTCCATAAATGTAAGTATGTACTCCCAATGTGAATAAAGGTTTACCAGAATGCATTAGCTAGTTCAGTAAAAAGGGCATTCCTTGTCAAACTTGCACTGCCAAGAAGGACTCCATTGAAAGATTGCTCTATATTTCTGAAGAAGCTGAATTTAGATGTCACAGGCAGAAATGTGGAGCTCCATTTTTGGGTAAAAATATAGGAATGGAGTAGCAATCCAATGGTGATTGCTACACTTGGAATAGTCAGCCAATGACTTACAGTCCATACAACAATTGCTATCCATTGTCTGGAGACAGATTGTTTGTGAATATTGGGTGAGGGTCAGCTCAAGTTTAGCCTTGTTACAATCAGTGACATGCAGCCTCTGGGGTTTACACAAGCAGAATGGCGATACTTGGGGATTGAAAATATACTTCAGAAGATATTTGTGCCTTTTAAGAAATGAGGGGTGAAACTTAGATTAATGAAGTTCCATCACTTCATTTTCAAAGTCAACTAGAGATGGGCAATAAATGTTGGTCTTGCCCACATCCTGAAAATTTGAGGAAAACAAAAGCATTTATTAAAACACTCACTAGAGACTGAGTTATAATTAGTACACAGGTTGTTATAATCAGTAACACTTTTTTAATATGGACCT